TCCTAAACTCTCAACCCTAAACCCTAAACCCTAAACCCTAAATCCTAAACCCCAATCCCCAATGCCCAAACCCTAAACCCTAACCGCCAAACCCTAAACCCTAAACCCTAATAGATATAGTGTGTAGAGGGTAAAAGGAGACAGTTTATGTTGTATCTTACTGTCTCCTTTTCTGTTTTGATTGTTGTTGTTTTTTCTTTTTCTTCTTTTTGTTCTTCTTTCTCTGCCTCCTCTATGGGGAGAGAAGGCAGCATAGGAATATACTCTTCTGCTGCAGTTTCTGCTGCTGCTGCTGCTGCTGCTTCTGCTGCTGCTGCTGCTGCTGCTGCTGCTTCTCCTGCTGCTGCTGCTGGTGAAGCTAGCATGTGAGGGGCTGCTGCTTGCTGCAGTGCTGCTGCTGCTGTCTCCTCTGCTGCAGCTATCTCAGCATATGTAGACGCCATCTCCTAATAAAAAAAAATAAAAAAAAATATAAATAAACAAATATAAATAAAAAAATATAAATAAAAAAATATAAATAAAAAAAGAAAAGTTGTAAGTGAAAAAAGAAATAGAGAAATTAAAAAAAGGAGACAGATAAATAAAAAGGAGACAGATAAATAAAAAGGAGACATATAAAAAAAAGAGAGATAGATAAAGAAAGGAGACAGATAAATAAAAAGGAGACAGATATATAAAAAGGAGACAGATATATAAAAAGGAGACAGATATATAAAAAGGAGACAGATGAATAAAAAGGAGACAGATGAATAAAAAGGAGACAGTAGAAAAGAAGAGAGACAGATAAGAATGAAGCAGATTAAAAGAGGAGACAGATAAAAAGGAGACAAACAAAAAGAAGAAGAAAAAAAGGAGACAAACAAAAAGAACAAAAAGAAAAAGGAGACAAACAAAGGGCAGAGAAAGAAAAAGGAAAGGAAGAAAAATAAAAAAGAAAAAAAGAAAAAGGAGACAAAAAAAAGAAGAAAAAAACAGAGAAAAAGGAGACAAACAAAAGGAAGGAAAAAGGAGAAAGGTAAAAAGAAGAAGAAAAAAAAAAGAGAAAAAGGAGACAAATAAAAAGAAAGAAAAAGAATACAAAGAAAAAGAAAGAGAAAAAGAAGACAAACAAAAAAAAAAAAAAAAAAAAAAAAAAAA